GAGAGAGAGAGAGAGAGAGAGAGAGAGAGAGTTTATATCAGTAATATATTGTATTTCTTAAATACTGTAAATTTTTGTAATGCACTAAAATCCTTTATAAACTGTATCAACAATGGTATTCAAAATTTGAGTAAATGTTCCTATACATCTGAATATTAATTCGGACATGGTATGTAAAAATCACACTTTATTTTAATTTTATTATGTAATTTTGTCATTTTATACTTTAAAACTTTAAAATAAATTCACATACAATTATCATAAAAGTTAGTACAGGTATTTTGCGCAAAACTTTTTGTATTTTAAAAGTCAATGTGAATTACCATTTCATTGACTAATAAATCATTACAATGAATTAAAAGTTGCATTAATTTTTATAGATTTTAAAGTTTATAATAATATTCATCTATTTAAAATTACTTTTTAAATGAAGTAGATTATTTTCATTATGAATTCACTTTATTATACTATAAACTGTAGCCACATTTGTATATGTTGTTAAACTAAATGCTTTAAGTTTAATAATTTAAATAAGAATGACTAATCTGTACCGAGGCAAGTGCCTCGCTAGAAAGTGCCTCACTAGGCATTTTTCACTAATTTGCAAATATTAAAATTTTTAAATATACATATTTATTTGCTTTTGTAATAATACATTTATATTTGTTTAAAAAAAATTTAATCTAAATTTTTAATTTAATAAAAAAATTTTAATTTAATAAAAAAATTTTTAATATTTTTATTTTACAATTTTTATTACAAATATAAATGTAGTATTACTAAATCAAATAAATGTGTATATTTAAAAATTTTAATATTTGCAAATTAGTGAAAAATATTTGCAATATAAGTATATAATTATAAATAAACACAATTTTATCATGTTTTTAATAATAAATAATATAAACATTAGTAAAATATCTCATTGAGTAAAATTGTTATACGCATTATATTTTAAATTATATATTTTTTTAACAATTATGCCTTAAGTTATCAATGTTGTTATTTATATTTATCTTTAAGTTTTGTATTTTTGAGCGACACTATTTTTATTTAAAAATCGATGTGAATTACCATTTAAATGACTAATATAATGAATTACGATGAATTAAAAGTTACATTAATTTAAATTGATTTTAAATTATATAACCCATATTTATCTATTTAAATTTACTTTAAAACTGAAATAGATTATTTTCATTTGAGTTTACCAAATTATATTATAAAATGTAGCACCATTTGCATATACAGTGCAACTTCTCCATAGGGAACGGCCAGTTGCAAGGCAAAAGTGTTCCCTATAGGGAGGGTTCCTCTAAGGGAGGTTTGAGTAAAAATGTCTTATTTTTGACTAATATTTGAAAATGTTTATTAATGTCTTTCAATGTTTTTTAATTCATTATATTTAGTTTTTAAATCAATTGATTGTCTTTTTTAAGACATTTTATAACAATTAAATGAATAAATTAATGTACACTATTATAATAATTCACTTATCAAACTATAAATGTAGTGTTTATCACAACTCTACAGTATTGAATGAAACTTTAAATGTAAATCTGTTTGTTTAAAGACTTAGGTTTGAGAATATTTTAAATACTTTACAGATCATGTGCTTATGATTATCTTTGTTCCTTAAGGGGAGTGCAAGTTTTATCTTAATCACTATAAATTCGTTCCTAATGGGGAGGTATTCCTTACCGAGAAGTTCCCCTAAGAGAGGTTATGTTAACATTATAAGTATAGGAAATCCAACGTAAATTTCAAATCAGTTCCCTATGAGGAGGGGTTCCCCCAAGAGAAGTTGCCCCAAGAGAGGTTGCACTGTAGTGTATATTAATTTTACGAAAATACCTTGATGATTCAATATATACGTTTCATTAAAAACAATTTCCCCACTTTTCTGGCATTATGTGATTTATGCTTAATCGCCAAATATGTATTTATACGTAAAATAAAACTTTGTCAAAATGACCCTTATTATGTAATTCGTTTGCTCCCAAAGTCCGTTTGTAAATAGAAATTGGCTATTTATATAAATTTTTGTATAAAACTTGTCGAAATAAATATATAGTAATATTAAATTAACCATCACGTATGTTTTTGGAATATACACGTTAAATAAGTGTGGTTATTACCCATGGCATAGATTTTAATATATTTATATTACAGGTGTATACATAAATATATTGGGTGTATGGTGTATGTAAGGTGTATGTACTTTATATGTTTAACGCTCAAAAGTGTTATTATATAATCGGATATTTATGTCAGAATTATAAAAAAGTTATATTTTTGTTAAACTATATTACAATGATCATGTTACTTCTAGGTATCAAAGTGGTACCCGACATACATGAGCCCATTGGGAACGATACTTGACATTCTTGGTGCACGGATGTGGACAGTTTTATTATTAAGTTTAATTAATTTTAATTATATTTTTTCAAGATATAAACCTACATGATATATTCGTTAATCCAGTATATAAGACAACGAATCTATACGTACTCATCAAATTGTTTGTTATAAATTAAATGTGATAGTTGTTTTTATAGTAAAAGTAATACAGTGTTTATCAAATATAACAATTTTTACATGATTTACATTTTATTTTCGCACTTGGTAAAATAAAAAGCATACAATGAAAGCACTGTTGCTATTACTGCTGGCCTGTGCCGGCTGTTTGGCCGACAATATCAACAGCCGTTTGGATTGTTATCTAGAGCGTAAGTACTTTTATAACAGCATTTTTGTTTAAAACTGCAAAATGTTTACGTATTTCTGCACTGAATTTATGATAATATATACTTTTATTCTTAATAAGTTTATTTTAAATAAATAATATTATTTTAATAAATATTGACCATGTCAACTATTGTAATTTAGTTGACATGCAAGTGAATGAACAGCAATGTATGGACAGGGGCTGTATATGGGACTCGACGGGACGGCCCCCGGGAGTGCCCATATGTTATTTGGACCCAAAACAAGTCGGCTATAAAGTGGCCGCAGGTGTCAAGAAGACCGACACCGGACTGGAGGCCGAACTTAAACTGAAAGATACGGCCAAACGTACCCTCAAATCCATGCCATCGATAGAGAGCCTCAAGTTTTCGGTTAAATACATGACAGAAAACATACTTCGGTTCACAATTAGAGATCCGTCGGTCAAGCGATACGAAGTTCCCGTTCAACACGTGTTTAATCTGATGAACAGCACTGAGAGAGACGAGCAAAAGCGCGGGTATGCCGTAAACGTCGGCACAGATCTCAACGATTTTCAGTTTACAATCAGTCGGAAAGACACCAAAACTAAAATGTATGTTATATTTGTAATTGAAATAACTTAAACATGATAAACATTCTCTCTCTCTCTCTCTCTCTCTCTCTCTCTCTCTCTCTACCAGATTTGACACATCGATCGGAGGTCTAGTATTCGCCGATCAATTTCTACAATTGGCCACTAATTTGGCCACAAATGCTGTGTATGGCTTCGGCGAGAATGTGCACCAAACCCTCCGACACGATCTCAATTACAGAACGTGGCCGCTGTTCGCTAGGGATCAAAGCCTCGACGAGGTATCCTACCAACCACGTTGACATAGTTTACTAACAAACATTATTCAAAATAAAATATATGCTACATTTTTACCCTGTTTTTATCTGCTACCTCAATGGCTATAGGATATGCGTAATCTATACGGCGTTCACCCATTCTATACAGTACTGGAATCGGATGGTAGAGCGCACGGAATACTATTCTTAAATAGTAACGCTATGGGTTAGTATTTGGGTTATGCTATCCTACTGTACTGTATATCCTATGAAACATCGTATAAATATTATTTTTAATATAGTGTAATGGGGCTAAGAATGTTTTGTTTTTCTCATATGGGATAATGGTGTTGGCCGGAACAGCAACTTTTCGTGGCCCCCACAAAACCTGAAAAAACATAATGTGGGCAATACCCCGGAACACGTGATACAGTTGTACACATCGGTGATCGGTAGGTCAACAATGCCTCCCTTTTGGGGTCTGGGATATCAATTGTGCCGATTCGGGTTCAATGGCACACAGAATGTGCGCGATATGATTGACCGTAATCTTAAGGAACAGATACCTTTGGTTAGTAGTAATAACTTACTTAGCAAAATACAGCTTTGTATGTACAGTAAAACCTCGTTATAACAGTTTTATGTCATGACTCATGATTTAATCGCAACACATAGGATGTAATGTATATCGACATCGATTATATGGATAACTTCAAGGATTTCACATTTGATAAGCGCGCATTCTCTGGCCTCCCGGAGCTGTTCAACGACACTATTACCAACAACAACCTGCACTGGACACTGATCCTGGACCCGGCCATCGAGGCCAACAACACCGCCTACGAGTCTTTCAACGAGGGCTACAAACAGGACGTGTTTATCAAATGGGCCAAAGATGTGCCGCTGAAAGACAGGTTCAACCCTCCCAATGTGCCCACCGATAAGGACACCTTTTACGGCAAAGTGTGGCCCTCAGGACCCGCGGCCTATCCGGACTATTTTAAGTTCAAGACCGACCCGTGGTGGCGCAATCAAGTGAAAATTTTGCATGATGTTTTGCCCTTTGACGCACTGTGGGTTGTATGTATTAAATCCCAGCTATACCCCTCCAACCATTATAATTAATTTGATTGCATTTATTTGTACATAGGATATGAACGAGCCCTCAAACTTTATCTCCAACTGTACCAATAATAAATACGATTTCCCGCCGATTAGATCATGTATGTACTTATCAGTGATAAGTTATCACATAAATGGAAATGTAACAATTAAAATTAATTAATATAAATATAAATACACACTTAACCCACACTACCAGCGACCCTATGGGGCGGACAGACAGGCAAACAACTTTCCCAACAAACTATATGCATGACAACTACTCAGGGAGATAACGAAGAGTACCGTCATTATGACGTGCACTCACTCTATGGTTTAGGTCAAACTATTGCCACACAAAAGTACGTACAGTAAATAACTCATTCACTAATCTAGATAACCATGATCATTTTAATCCTAAATCCTTGATAACATTAACATAAGTAAGTCCTTATATGTTGACCCTCAACAGGGCTTTACACGCGACTACCGGTAAACGTGGTTTTGTAGTGTCGCGGAGCACATACCCCACATCGGGCCGATACGGCGCCCACTGGTCGGGAGATAATAGCAACGATTGGAAAATGTTGCGCCACTCGGTGGTCGGTATTAGCATATTTATAATAAAAATTATATCACATTACCCCGATTCTTACAAAACAAAAAGAGTATACCCTATTACCACAACCGGCCTTGTCGTTGAAAAGCACCGGGGGTGTTTTGGACTTTTTTGTATTCGTGGGCAATACCCCGGAACACGCGATACAGTTGTACACATCGGTGATCGGTAGGTCAACAATGCCTCCCTTTTGGGGTCTGGGGTATCAACTGTGCCGATACGGGTTCAATGGCACACAGAATGTGCGCGATATGATTGACCGTAATCTTAGGGAACAGATACCGTTGGTTAGTAGTAATACTTACAAAATTGTTAGCAAAATACAGCTATGTATGTACAGTCAAACCTCGTTATAACAGTTTTATGTCATGACTCATGATTTAATCGCAACACATAGGATGTAATGTATATCGACATCGATTATATGGATAACTTCAAGGATTTCACATATGATAAGCGCGCATTCTCTGGCCTCCCGGAGCTTTTCAACGACACCATTACCAAAAACAACCTGCACTGGACACTGATCCTGGACCCGGGCATCGAGGCCAACAACACCGCCTACGAGTCTTTCAACGAGGGCTACAAACAGGACGTGTTTATCAAATGGGCCAAAGATGTGCCGCTGAACGACCGGTTCAACCCTCCCAATGTGCCCACCGATACGGACACCTTTTACGGCAAAGTGTGGCCCTCAGGACCCGCGGCCTATCCGGACTTTTTTAAGTCCAAGACCGACCTGTGGTGGCGCAATCAAGTGAAAAATGTGCATGATGTTTTGCCCTTTGACGCGCTTTGGGTTGTATGTATTCAATCCCAGCCCTACCCCTCCAACCATTATAATTAATTTGATTGCATTTATTTGTTTATCTGTACATAGGATATGAACGAGCCCTCAAACTTTATCTCCAACTGTACCAATAATAAATACGATTTCCCGCCGATTAGATCATGTATGTACTTATCAGTGACAAGTTATCACATAAATGGAACTGGAAATTTAACAAGTAAAATTAATTAATATAAACACATACTTAACCCACACTACCAGCAACCCTATGGGGCGGACAGACCGGCAAACAACTTTCCCAACAGACTATATGCATGACAACTACTCAGGGAGATAACGAAGAGTACCGTCATTATGACGTGCACTCACTTTATGGTTTAGGTCAAACTATTGCCACACAAAAGTACGTACAGTAAATTACACATCACTCATTCACTAATCTAGATAACCATGATCATTTTAATCCTAAATCCTTGATAACATTAACATAAGTAAGTCCTTATATGTTGACCCTCAACAGGGCTTTACACGCGACTACCGGTAAACGTGGTTTTGTAGTGTCGCGGAGCACATACCCCACATCGGGCCGATACGGCGCCCACTGGTCGGGAGATAATAGCAACGATTGGAAAATGTTGCGCCACTCGGTGGTCGGTATGCTTGAGTTCAACATGTTTGGCATTAGTTTCGTAAGCGCAAACAGCCCAGTGCTAAGAGATAGCACACGCGTTAGTATTCTGGTAGTAATTTTGGTCGTTATTTACAGGTCGGAGCCGACATCTGTGGCTTTAAAGGCGAGACTAACGCCCAACTATGTCAACGGTGGTCACAATTGGGCGCGTTTTATCCGTTTTCACGCAACCACAACGAGAAGGGCCGCTCAGATCAGGACCCGGCCGTATGGGTGAGCAAAGGGCACCCGGAGGTGACCGAAACGGCCCGCACTTCGCTGCGGCTCCGCTACAAATTGTTGCACTACTTGTATACCTTATTTTACCGGAGCTATGCTTATGGCGATACTGTTGTCCGACCCATGTTTCACGAATGGCCACACGATGTGAACACACATAGCATTGACACTCAGTTTATGTGGGGCAGGCATATACTCATATCACCCTTTCTGTTTGAGGTACGGTCTCTCTCTCTCTCTCTCTCTCTCTCTCTCTCTGTATCTCTCTCTCTCTCACTCACTCACTCACTCACTCACTCACTCTCGATCTCTCTTTCCATTCATCACTTACTAAACAATCCTATTATCCAAACGTCCAGAACCAGCAACACGTGGACGCATACCTACCCCCTGGCGAGCGTTGGCACGAGGTTTGGCCGCAATTAAGACTCGCGCCACAAGTTGGACACATTACTATTAATGACACGCAACCGACTGGTCCGCCACCCGTCCACTTTCGGGGCGGCGCTATCATACCGATGGTGACCGACACTAAACTGACGAACACCGCCAGTCCGGCTATGAATCTAATAGACCTCGTTGTAGTGCCAAATGCCAAATGGGAGGCCAGCGGTGAACTGTTTTGGGACGACAGGGAAGGCATCGACACTATAGACGCCGGAAAATACAATCTCTACTCATTCACTCAATACGTTAATTGCACCATGGTCATCCAGGTGCACAAAGCTGGTTATATCGGTGCCGCCCACCCCACAGTTGCCCGGCTGCTCGTCCAAAGTGTCGGTATTAAAGACCATAGTGTGGAGGCTAAACGAGATGGTACAACTGTGCCGGCTAAACGTGGTGATAATGGTTTCATAGAAATTACGGTTAATTTGACACTGGGTGATAAGCTAGATCAGCGTTATTTAATCACGTGGATCGATACCACCACCAAACAGTGCGACATGAAATAAAATACATTTAAGACTGATTTGAAGTGCAGTGTGATTAAAATAGGCATTTTTATTATCCATGATGTTTCACGGGTCATCACTCAATGAGTTAACCTAATTAAAATACACTAGTTAAATAAACATAAAAGTATTATAATAGAATATAATTTTATTAACCACAATTAGAATATAAATAATGTGGTTTATATGATAGTTCGACTACCCCTCCCTCTTCATTATCTGAATTGTGGTTAATCTATAGAAACTTATTGTTTTAGGAACCTATAGTTATCTTAATCTAGTTTAATTTTATTTATTGTTATAAATTTTGTGTTATTGCGACCTATCACGATCAATTAATAAATTTTTAATTAATCACTATATGAATTTAAAATATTTAAAATTATAATGGAAAGTATAGAAAGTATAATAATTATGAGATTATTGATGATGATATTTTCCAATGGGGTGGGGAAGGGAGTGGTAATGGACAAGCGATCCTCTAAATCACATTCTTTACATACAAATGTATACAAATATGTGGTTAAAAATTATAATATCTACTGTACTGTAAAGTAAATAGTATAACATTAATAATTTAAACATTAGGAATATGAATGTTTTTTTGTGGTGCAATGAACTGTTGTGATAATTAAAGAGTTGACATACTAAATGTATATCTAAATAGTGTTATATTTATTTTAAACAATAAACTTAATTAATAGCAGCAAATAATTAATTTATTGATACTTTATATAAACCCAAAACATACGAGTTGGAAACCCGTTTCTGGCCAAGACGTGGCTGAGTTTACAAAATAATTTGTTTATCATGAATATAACATAGTTGTTCGAAATTGTTCGAAAGACAATTGTTCAAAAAATTAATTTTAATTTGGTTGAAACACATTAAATTAATACAAATTGTTATAAATATTACTTACATATATTATGCATTATACATGTATTATATTAATATAAGTTAGTTTAGGTAAGTTTGGGTTAGGTTAGGTTAGGTTTAATTAATAATTATTTAATATAATGTTATTTTTTCGAACAAGTGTCTTTCCAACAAATGTCTTTCGAACAAGTGTCATAGACACAGTACATACACCTCAGTAACTAATAAGCAATAATATCTAAATATATTATAAATTACCTGTATATAATAAGCTCACATATCACCATGATTGTATAATGATTATATATAAATTGCAAGCAAAAAAAGAAATTGTTGTTAAAAAATTAATATTAATATTTTTAATTATTTTAAATATAGTAGTGATTGTGTTATTAATAAATTGTAATTTTAATAAATCCAGTGATGAATATATACCACAAAACCTATTATTTGATGAAAATAGCAATTATACTAATATCACGGGATATCCAATGAATATTGTGCCCAATTTTGTGCATTACGTGTTGTTTGACGTCCCGGAGATACAAATCGGACACTTTATATCCATACTATCGGTGCTGAGAAACCAAAGGCCGGACCGGATATACATTCACACAGAATTTCTACATTTGAAAGGCATTTATTACGAACGAGTGTTAAGAATATTAAGTAAATTACACACAAAACTAATTATACGAAAAATACCAAAACCAAAGGCCGTATTCGGGCAGTTAGTGTTTCATATTTTTCACGCTTCAGATATAATACGGTTGCGAGTGTTGGCTGAGTTCGGGGGCCTATATCTGGATCGAGATGTATATGTGGTTAAGTCGATGGATGTGTTTCGCAAGTTTGAGATGACAGTGAATTGGGATGGTTGGGATGGATGGGAAGCTTATATAAACACTACGGGCAACTGGACTGAGTCCATGTCTTTGGGCAACAATGTAATTATGGCGCACCCGAGGGCCCGGTTTCTCAAACTGTGGCGTCAATCCTATACAGATTATCGGAAGGTCTGGTACTATAACGGGGGAGAAGTGCCCACAAAATTGCTAATCAAGAATCCGGAACTAATACATAGGGTTCGCATGCAATTTGGTTTCTTCGCGTGGAATGTTTGCCCTAAAATGTATATCCAATACGACCCGAATTGGGTCCGAGACTACTATACAATGCATATGTATATTAGGGGTGATGTTATTGTGCTTAGATACAATTGCTTTTACAGCCAAGACTTGTATCCAATAGAGGAACACCTTATCAAACGACTTGACGTTACTTTCGGTGAAATGACACGAAATGTGTTTGATTTTGAAAATAATGTTATCAACGGATGGCTGTAATCAATCAGATTCTTGATTGCATTTATTTAACGGTTTATGTTTTTTAATAATAAATGAATGAGAAATGTGCTTAACTTTTCAATTAACATATTTAACGTTAGTATATAATTATGTTTGACATTTCATTTGTATTTGTAAAATAACTTAATCTTCTTTATGTTTAGTTTTTAGTAAAAATATAATTATATACAAATGTAAATATTTAATTAATAAAAAGCAATACATTTGGTAAAGCACAGCTATATTAAACTTTTAACGTATTTATTAATAATTAAAGTATTACAAGATGTTTTGTTTTATTAATTTTTTAATAATAGTTAATTACTGAGTCTCAGAAACAGATACTTTTAGGGTTTATTATTTGTTAAAGTTAATCATATTTTGGTAATTTTATTGAAATAAAAAATCTGTTAATAAGTGATCTAATATTTAACTTATTGTAAACTTGTAATATAATAAAATCAAAAAATATGTTGAAGGTTAAATTATATTATATAACATAATTTATATTTTATTATATCTTTTTATATACTATTGTATATATTATGTAGACTTTAGTAATTAATAAGAATTATATAACATTTAAAATTATTTTAGAAACTCAACATATTACCATGATCATGAATAATTTAACCACAATAAAACAAATCGTAGTAACTAATTCAAGCTTAATATTTCTAGTAATTTCAAATATAGTAGTTATTGTGCTTATATTTAGTGATAAAAGTGATTTCAATCAAATCAATTGCAATAATTTTAATCAATTCAGTGATGAATATTTTCCACAAAACCTAACATTTGATGGAAACAGCGATTATAATATTACGGGATATCCGATGAATATTGTGCCCAATTTTGTGCATTACGTGTTGTTTGACGTTCAGGAGATAGAGTTCGGGCACTTTATATCCATACTATCGGTGCTGAAAAACCAAAGGCCGGACCGGATATATATTCACACCAATAACAGGCAAATGGTTGGCGAGTACTACAAACGTTTGCTGAGATTAAGCCAAAAATTATCGGTAGATATAATATTACGAAAAGTGCCCAAACCTAAGGCCACTTATGGTAAAGATTTAACATATTTTAACGCTCATCACTCGGCGGACATTAAACGGCTCCGAGTGTTGAGTCAGTTCGGAGGCGTATATCTCGATCGAGACATCTATTTAGTCAAACCCCTCGACCCGTACTTTAAGCACGAGATGACTGTTAACTGGCATTTAGGCCATAATGTGGACAATCAGGTGATTATAGCGCATCCAAACGCCCGGTTACTGAGACTGTGGCACGAAATGTATCGTCACTACGAAAGCAAGTCATGGGATTACAATCGCGCCGTTCGGCCAACAGAGACAGTGCTCGCCCACCGGCCAGAGCTCGTGCATCGGGTGACCGACGAGTTTGCTGTCATTTACACAATTTGTCCCAAACTGTTCATTGCATATGAGCCCAATTGGCGCCGGGATTACTATGTAATCCATATGTATATTACGGGTCGCCAGTCGTTACAACTCAACAATTGTTTCCAAAATCAGGCCTTTTATCCGATGGAAGAAAGTGTTGTCCAGAGAGTGAACACCACTTTCGGTGAAATGACAAGAAATGTGTTTGATTTTGAGCGCAATGTTATCAATGGTTTTAATTTTATATAAATGTTTTATATACAGTATGTAATGTTATTCATAATTTGAAAACTCCTAAAATTCCCATGTTGCCGGGACGGAATTTCTAAAGAAACTTCGGAAAATAAAAAGTGAATCAGGGAAATGAATAACAAGGGGAAAATATTTTAAATAATTTTGATAATTTTATGTATTATTATTGATAAATTGTTTTAAACGTATAAAAATTTATAAAAAATAATCTTATTTAAAATATTAGTCAATAACTTTTATAATGTTTTTGATGAATAACAAAGAATTGGTTGTCACTCTTATAGCATTACGTCATCATTTGAGCGCAATTATTAAATTTTGATTAAAGAATATTTTACAAAATGATTTAGATTAAATTAATTAAATAGATTTTACCAAATCATCTTTTCTATTATGTTTAAACATGTTAGAGAACATGTAATAAGTACGATAAAAGTATTTATATTCATCGACTAATCATCGTTTGACCACATTTTTGTATTATTTTTCCAATTTTAAGGAATATAAAGAATTTTCCGGCGCAAAACTATTTCCCGGGAATATATTTATCAAAAATGGAGAATGAATAATATTAGCAGTATGTTAGCACTAATTAAATACTAAATTCACGTAACTAGAATCTTTATCTATGCAACAAACAAAGAGTAATGTAAATGATTAGTCTATCGCGAGCTAAATTCCCCTGGAATATTCCATCGAGTATTTCCTATAGTTTTCGTCATTTTTAATGTAACTCAAAGTTTTTAAGTTTGTAATCATTTTTATCTCAATGTCAGGGATTGACTCTCACTCCGAGTCAATCCCTTCCTGTTTCTGTAACCTCCAAAAGCTCTATTTAAGAGGCAGACTGTGCGCTCTAACCCCTCAGTTCTCCCCCAGCAATCAAATGTATAACATGTTCAGTCAATAAATGTCTTTCGATATGAGAACCCCAATGCTTTTCTGTATCGCCTCTTGGGCCGCCCAACTTGGCGGCCAGGGAGCCAACCCGTGCTTGGGCCACTGACTCGGTGGCCAGGGCGACAACACTTCTTGGTTCGCAACCGCGATCAGGGAAGAATCACCCACTCTTGGATCACACACGTGATCAGGGAGGCATTCGCCAGAGAACTCA